TGGGACAGGCCAGGAGGATGGGGAGGCTGCTGGATGGGGTGTTTGCTGCCCCCCTGTGGTATAACTATCCCTGCTAGTACATCCTTCCCTTTGTTTGATACAAACCAATCACATTCCACGCACATCTCATTATCTCGGCACAACCAAACCCTGGCCTTGCTTTATTTGATGGTTCTTGCTTAGTTCAGGAGTTCTTGAACAAACGGACTCACAGACAGCTGCACATTTCTAAAATATATAAGAAGATTCAGGGCTCCAATCACAAAACCTAATCTACGCTGACCAACCCATAGATCATTCACTTCAGTGCACCTGAAGATGTATGTTCTGTCCTTTCAGATCAAACAGCAAGACTGGAGCCTAAGGGCATGACTTCACTATGTGTTGAATCAATTCAGCAGGGGTTGATTTATGTCTAGTATAGATGTGATAAATTGTCTGCCAGCCACTCTGACTCTGGTACTCCACCAGAATGGAGAGAGCAAAGTGTCAATGGGAGTTTTTTCCACAGACCCAGCATGATGTGGACCCTGCAGTAGACAGACCTAAGCTATGTCAGTTTGAGTTATGCTACTAACAATTCCAATTGTGTAGCTTAGTCTGACTTGTGTCTAATGTAGATCTGCCCCAAGTTTCATGTCTGAAAGTGATCCACATCTCTCTTAAGATGTCATCTCCATACTGTGAAAGTTTAAGAACAGCAAATGCCTGGAGATTGAGAGCAGTTTAGTGGGGAAAAACCATCAGTATTTACCTTTTCCTCTAAAGTAGACAGTTGCGCTACGTCTACATTATGACAATCTATCAGAAAAAGGTACGCAAATTGTGCTCTGCTTTTTCGGAAGAGGCATTTCTGAAATTTGGCCCCTCTACACTGTACCCAATTTTGGGAAAGCATCCTCTTTTGGAAGAGCCTTTCTTCCTCGTGGGAGGAGGAAGACAGGGCTTCCGAAAGAGCATGTCTGTTCTTCTGCCGAAAAAAAAGGTGGAAGAGCAGACACATCCCCTGCTCATAGTGGAGATTTTCCAGGATACCTCCAGTATCCCGGAAAAACCCCATAGTGTAGACATAGGCTTACCTTCTAGTTTAGGGAAGTAAATAGTTTTTAAAAGTACCCATTTAAACTATTAAAATTATCAGTTAACCATTTAATCGTTAGCATGACTGTGGCTGCTACCCAATCTCTCTCAGCAGAGGATCATAGTCCAGAGCTACTACCAATCTGTTTTAAATATTAGGGGTACACGTACTGAGCAGCATTATTTCAAAATACGTATTTTGAAATATCAAGCTGGAGGACTTCTTACTGACTCTTGGTAACCTTCATTTCACAAGGAACAAGGGAAATCTAAGGAAGAGTGTTCTTCCTTTGACTTCCTGCTGTGTTGACAGGGCCAAAAGCCAAATTAAGCTATTTCCACTTCAGCTACGCAGTTCAAGTTGTGTAGCTTAATTTGACATTAGCCCTGGTGTGTAGACATACCGTAACAGAACTACTAATACCTGTCTGGTAACTCTTTAGTATTTTACATCTCTTTTCTAGTTATGAATTGATGGATAGAGCTAGTTTCAATTTGCTTCTGGGTTGAAGGCCCTTTGCTTGTACAAGCAGGTGAATGAATTTCAGAATAAACTTAAAAAACAACAAATGGTCTGATAGCACTTTATAGACTAACAAAACATGTAGATGGGATCATGAGTTTTTGTGGGCACAGCCCACTTCTTCAGATGACTGGTGTGTTACTTTATCCCAAAGAACAATCAAAACTGGGTGTTTTAATTCATCTGAAGTTAACATTAGCCTTTTTAACAGGATTAAGACTTTTCTGCTTAGTGTAAAAAAGTCAAACTCAAGCTGAGGCAGAGATTGAGTATATAAAATTTCAACCCCACCAATTAGTTCAGCATTACTATGAGTGCTATTTGGAATCATAGGTAACGGTAACATGTGGTAAGCCCATGATGTATCATTTATAGTAGCAATTTCAGTGTATTCTAGTAAAAGATCTGGGGAAGGGATTTTATTTATAGTATCAGTTACTCAGTAGGTGGATAACTAGGCTTAAAAAAAACCACACATGACTTCAGTATGCTCCTGGCTCCAGCCCCTTCTCAACCTCCCTCCCTCCCCAAAACGCAATTTCCTCATGCTGTCTAATGCACCACACTAAATACTTGTTTCTTCTGCTAGAAGAAAAGCACTGCAATTGAGTAGGTTAGGAGTGCTGATTTGGCATTTTGAAGCTTAAGAGGATTATCAGATGCTTGCCCTGTAAGTTCAAACATTCCATAATTGGTAGAGAAGCATCCTTTTCTTCATCCCCTTTTCCCAGCCAAGAAATACAGAAAGCTCGGACCAACCACACATTCTCAACTAGTTTGCTTTGTTGTACCCAAATCTTTACCCAGGTTTCAATTCCTATCATTCAGACTTGACACAGTACTTCCCTACAAAGTATAAAATAAGACTCTAACAGGTTGGATAGTGAGAACAGCCTAATAGAATTCCTGGTTTTTCCTATTAGGCTTTTTAAGGACATACAAATGTGTCAAAACTTAACTGAATAAGTCACCCTTTTTAAAAAAAAAAAAAGTATGTTTCAGGTTTTCAGTTTATGCAGAGCTGCTATACATAAGTTACAATTATGTTCTAAAAAAGATTTAATAATGTGAACCCTAGCCTTTACAGTTGAAGTGTGAGAACTGATGCAGTCCTCGAGCAGGCTGTGATTACCTAAAAATAATAGCTCAAGTAACTACTCCCATAGCGTGGGAACTTCAGTCCCGGAATATTCGATACTCCATAACTGAGATGCAATGTCAGAATGGGAGCAGAGTAAGAAATTGAACATCCCTCCTTAATGAGAAGTGTCTTTCCCCTTCTCAAGAGGGGATTCACCATCTTTCATCTCAGTTTCAGAGCAAGAGATTCAAGTCCCCTCAATACTACAGGGAGGGGAAGAATCTCCATCTCCCTCGCGAGTCAGAAGGCTCCAGTGACACCACAATCCATCTATTAAAACCTATTCCCCTTTCCTGACAATTCCATAACTTGTGAATTCAACATCCTCAGGAACGAGCTGTCAGTTGGGTGGGCAGGTAGATCAAAGAGTAAGAAATAGCATGTAGCTTTGGAATGGGAAGCATTTTAAGAGTATACACTACAGTTTACATTTAAGGTCTCTTCCACAAAGTATACCCAATACCTATGTATCTATAAACCTCCCACAAATCCACAAGACTACAGCAATAGGACAAACAGATTACTGTGTTACTTCATCTTAACTGATCTTTCGGTATCTGGCCATTGTGAATAGGTAAATTCATAGATGTCCACGTAAATCAGTATATTCATTTTCTTTTATAGCTGTGTTTAAAGGTTATATGATTAGAAACACTAATTCCTTAAGTCTTATCCTTGGACTAATTTGTTTGTCAGTGACCAAGATTTCAACTGAGACAGCCATTACCACACCCTATACATTCATGTTTGATAAGAACGAAGCACTAAATTGTACCTTGCCTAAGGCAACACATGAGCATCCTTCAACAACTCACTTGTAGGGATGTCAAAGCCTAGGCTTATCAGTTAATCTTGTCAACTACATGCATTTCCCCCCCACCCCACCCCAGGCCATTG